TTTATCTAGCTATGAATTGGATCACTCGTATTCAATAAACTTAAGTTATTAGTTATTACAAATCTTTTCAATATCTACCGGTGAGAATCCCGTGCGATGCACAGGAATTCGTAACTTAAAATATTTTTGCAAAACTATATTTTGACAATGTATTAGACCGTGATTCATTTATATTAATATAAATAGCATTTTAACATATATATTTATTTTTAATACAAAAACTAATAATTTTATATATTTTGGTTCATCATAATATTCAAATATTATTTTATTCAAAAATATATTGTAACATTATTATTTGTAACATTTATAGAAATAATATATTCTTTTTTATATAAAGATAAATATTTAATGTATATTAATATTGTTTATTGATGTGATTGATTTAAAAATATATAAGTAAATATAATGTTTGTTAGGAATGTAATATATCTCGATATTTTAGGTACAAGTATATATGATATGCATATCTTGACATACCAAAAAAAAAAAAAAAAAAATATATGCATATCAAATTTACATTTGAATGTGATCCAACACAATCATGGGCAAAGAATTGAACGTACAAGCACCCCTAAATCTAACTCAAAATCTTTTGAAAAATCTTGAATAAAAATAAAGTAAATATATAAACACTATAAATACAAAACAAACCATGTAGAGAGTCACTAGATCTCCAAGAACAAATAAAGGCTGATACATATATACACATAATGTCCAAGTCTCTTTCTTTGGCCTTGGCATTATTATTATTATTACTCTTACTAATATGTACTTGCAAAGCCGATAAAGTTCAAGAGGAAATAATGAAGAGAAGCTCCCGCATCGGGTCACGGCCCCCAAACTGCACGAATAAGTGCCACCGGTGCTTGCCGTGTAGGCCGGTTCTCCGGATTCCACCACCTACAGATTCCGGCAACGACGACTATGTTGGCTATTCACAGTATTATCCCGTGACGTGGATGTGCGAATGTCGTGGCCACTATTATGATCCGAATAAATTCGAAAATTAGGCTATATTTGTATTCTTTACTCAACGTATTTAGTGAAAGAAATAGAAGAAAGAAAGAAAGAAAGAAAGAAAGAAAGAAAGAGAGAGAGGTTGTTTTGATTATGAATCATTTGATTAAGAGATTCGGGAGTGACTTAGATGTTTTACGATGTTTTACTCATCTCTAATAATTTCACTGTGGTTTGAAACAATTTTTTGCATTCAATTAACTAATTTCAAAAAAGGAAATTCATTATAGGAATTTTTAGAAATAGAAGATTGCAATGTGAGTTCTTTTTACATATCAAACACCTATTTAGTTACCAAACATCAGCCAATTCACTCAATTAGTCTAAACTATTTGGACGTGCTTTGATATAAATATATTCGCTTAAAACGGGTTTTTTTGGTTATTCTGAGTTAATTTTGAGAAAAAAATGTGGTGTGATTAGTTGTTAGTGTGATTTTGAGTTTTTATTAAAATATTATTTAAAATAAAACAATTAAAAATGATTTGAGTTTATTAATCGATGTCACCCTTAAGCATCCACATCCATTGGATGTTATTTTTTTTTACAACACATGGGTATGTGTCACACATAGGGTTGTAAACGAGTCGAGCCGAGCTCGAGTTTAGGGTGCTCAAGCTCGAGTTTGAGTTCTTAAAAAGTCGAGCCGCGGCTCGACTCGTTAAATAAACGAGTCTGAAATCGAGTTCGAGCATTAACGAGCCGAGCTTATCCAGGCTCGTTTAATTTAACAGCACTAGTCACATATCTAATGGATGTGGGTGGCATCGACTTAACCGTTGATTTGATGTAAAACTATGAAAGATTATGTGAAATGATGATTAGTTAAAATTATGTGAGTTGATCAATAATAAATTAAATTTGATGTGATATGCAAAAAATGTTTGATTGATATTATTTAGTTATATTGATAATATTTAGGATAATAGAGTTGATTTAAAGTTGAACTAAATTTCAAATATGGATTTAATATGAATTGAGTTTATTTATTTATAAACAAATACATCCTTAATTCAACCAAAGACTTATACATATCAACTAATCCAATCAATTATAAATTAACTGAATCACCCTTAATTCAACCAAACACTTAATGAATCAATCAGCTATCCGCTAAGTGTCAAACACGCATATTGTCATATGTATTCACAACTGAGCATATCTGTGTATAGTTCTTTTCTGGATAAATTATGCGGAAGACAAATACTGAAAATGTGAACATCAAAAGATGGACAAATAGATATTAAATAATTAAACATATCCATGACCATCTAAAGCGACAACAATCTGGTTCCAAAACCCCTTGCAGAATACATAAAAGCCTAAAGATGTCATAAGTTTGTAACAAACTCGAACATCGAGCACAAGAACAATAATTCGAAACAAAATAACATGCCTAGGAGCAGATACTTCCATTCTCGGACAAGGAAAATACATAAGCTCTTACTCTCACATGATACAACAGTTTTGTTGAGACTCGAGCATCTCAGGAGACCTGCACGAGGCAAGACGAATGTTTCATTATTTTATCAGCAATGTCAAGACAGATTTCAGAAGGACATGCATTAAGGAAAAAAGATGGCCAAACAAGCCATAACAAACATAAAGAGGGGGTTTTTATTATATATTTCAACAGTCTTACATGGGATTCTGGTTAAGAAAGTTTATGAACAGCATTAAATAACTTAGATGTACTCACAATTGTCCAAAAGTTGATAGATCCAATCCTGGAGCAAGCTCTTGCATGATATCATTAGGTGGTTGGCCGCACTCTTGCATCTTCTGCATCAGCTCAACAATCTTGTTGAAGTTATCAGGCTCGTTTTCATACACTTGGTTTAGATCTTTTATGAGCTCATATTGGTGAGAATATTGTGCGTATTCTGCATCTGTTAATTTAGCTTTGTTCTCTTGTAACCATATTGGGTACCGTTCACCAATTTCTTTCATAGGTTCATGAAGGATTTCCTTGGAGAGAAGCTGTTGCATCATGGTCTCCACAATTGACTCCATATCCTGCAAATAAGAGCCCAGAGTATTATAATCACCCAATTATTGTGTAATAACTAATAAACAAAACAGAACCGAAAAGAAAAAAAAAAAAAAAAACGTAAAATGGTTTCGAACAAATCTTAAAATTTCTTGATACAGCAATTATTGACCGTGGGAAATGGCATTATTCAGTTGTAGACAGCTCTTCACTAGTCATCTATTTACCAATTGCTGCAAACAGCCCTAACTTGGAAAATATAATTCCTATGCGGTTAATTTGTGGTAGAAAATAAGCAGGACGGAGTTCAATATCATCAGATGTAAGTAGTCATAACTCTTATGACTGTAGAGATTGTGAAATAAAAAAGTTTCGTATATAATAATACTTAAAGCCTATGTTTGTTATGGTTTTGAACAATTAAAACAGTTTGATTGAAGGGTCTGAAAAAGTATCCATTCTTGGTACCTCAGGAAACTATCAACTTTACTTCAATCTCAACCTAACTTGAACCATACTCTACCACTTAGCTTGCATTATGAGAAAACACACACACACACACGAACACCATTTTAACAACACACACCTGTGTTCCGGCAAGCTCTTCAAAGTGCTTGACCCAATCCTCTATCATTGCATCTCCTCCAAAGTCTCCTTCCACTGGTAGTTTGGGCCCAGACACCGATTCCAGCCCTTTAACGGCCTCTTTCGTTTGCTCTCTCAGCTTATCGAGCGCCTCAGAAATATGTGATTCCTGCTTTGGCGGTGAAACTTTTTGTTTGCCCTTTTTCTTAATCTTCAAATCAGGCAAACCCATCCCTAACCCTTGAACACTTCCACTCATCATTGTAGAGCTCTCTTTCTTTCCCTCTCCTGGGTTACCATCATTATTACCCGAGCCTCTATATCCCGGCAAAAGACAACAATGAACAGACATAAAACTATTATATAACCTTGTGGAAAAGGAAAAAGAAAATGAACAAAGTGGAAACAGCAGAGCGGCATCTTTAGTCATGAGTCGTGACTCGAAACCAACCGCCAAAATGACAAAGTAACTTTTAATGTCTTAGCAACACCAAAAAGTAAGATGATGATGATGATGATGATGATGATGATGATAACAAAAACAAAAGATACATATTTTGGAGAGGGCAAATATACCTTTGTGCGGAAGAGGTGAGATTAAGGCTCTGAAAATCATCCAATGCACCTGAAGTTTTTTTCCCAAAGCATTTAAAAATCACTACCTTTGTCCATAACTATTGAAATTTCGACCGAAGTATGGAAATGAAGTAAGGACAAAATATTTTTAACGAGATAAATGCTCTCTTACTGTCAAGGAGTTGATCCAAATCATCCGTGTGATCAGCCATGAAATATCTTTCCCCAAACCTTTATCTTTTGCTCTTTTTGAATTCCCTCTTCAACTTCTACAACACTAACCCTTTCTTCAACAACAACAACAACATAGTCTTTTAGTCCCAAACAAGTTGGGGTAGGCTAGAGATGAAACCCAAGAGAACCAATGGTAAGAGAACCACAAAAAGGGCACAAAACATAAGGAAGAGATTGGAGCAAAAAGAGAAAGGAGCAAAAGTCACGGTTCTGCATGTTGATTGCTAGCCTTTCTTCAATTGACAAAATATCTAGATGCCAGAATTTAAGTCGATCAGCCAATATTTGAAGGGGCACTTTCATGTGAGGACGGGTTCGGGTTAACCAACAAAGGGAAGGTACAGCTACAATTGTAAATTCTCCATGGAAAAAAAAAAAAAAAAAAAACATTCTTTTGTGATTTCAGTTTGATTGCAAATTACCTTCTAATCAGTTGCAGGGACTCTTTCCAAGAATTGGACAAAATTTTCACCAAAAATTCATCAGAAATCGGGTTTTTACTTCCAAAAAGGAAAGCCCATCACAATTCAACCAGTTCTCACCAAGCAAAAACCCAACTAAGGACGAAATTATCTCCCCTCGCCACAACAAATCTTTTTCAGAGTTTAAATCTGACTGAAAATAACTCGATTACGCAAGAATTTTCCAATTCAGGGCTTAAATCAAACAAAAAAAAAAAAAATACTCACCTTTGCAAGAATTTTACGATTAAGGGTAGCAAGAAGTTTCGATATCTGAGTAGCAGACAGGTCGCAGGTCGAAGGATGATTCCCTTGGTCGGATTATAGCTCAATCTGTTTCAGTCCAGGGCAAGGAACACAGACGATAAAGAAATAAAGACGATGAAGAACGGTGCTGCAGATAGCCTTCTACAAGACTCGATATATATATTTTTTGTGGGAAGAAAAAATAAAAGGGGAAAAACATAAAGATAAATTAATTAATGCATACAAAATTAAATAAATCCTTGTATGGGCTTCCTATCATCATTATTCATTTATTTTATTTTTTTTATACATTTTTTTTTTTCAAATAAAATATCTAGACTCATTCGACCAAACCATGAACCCGGTACATCACGAAAGAGGAGAAAAAAGATGGCATAAAATCCTTCCACATAAAAGAACGTGAAAATAGCTATTTTCACCCCGTTTTGAAGTCATGCTAAGTTTTTCACACCACCCAATAAAAAGCTAAGTATTTCACCCCAGAAAAGTGTGAAAGGCATGCGATGAATATGCGACAATTGCGCGACGACATTGTGCGAAAGTTAAAAGTGCGAAGGCATTCGAACTTTCTGGGTGAAAAAAAGTTAAAGTGTGAAAGACATTGTGCAATGAATATGCGACAATTGCGCGATGACATTGTGCGAAAAT